GGGATTTTTGTTCTTGTGTGTCTCTAGAACATATCCCCATGAATACTGGTGTGTTTGTTATAGTGTGTCTCTCTAAAACATCACAGTGATACCGATATGTTTGTTCTCGTGTGTCTCTAGAATGTATCACCGTGATACTGGGGTGTTTGTTCCTGTGTGTCTCTCTAGAACGTATCACCATTAATACTGGGGTGTTTATTCTTGTGTGTCTCTTTAGAACGTATCACCATTAATACTGGGGTGTTTATTCTTCTGTCTCTCTCTAGAACATATCACCGTTAATACTGGGGTGTTTGTTATTGTGAGTTTCTCTAGAACATATCAGCGTGAATACAGGGGTGTTTGTTCTTGTGTGTCTCTCTAGAACATAGCACCGTTAATACTGGGGTGTTTCTCTAGAACATAGCACCATTTATACTGGGGTGTTTGTTCTTGTGTGTTTCTCTAAAACACAGCACTGTTAATACTGGGGCCTCTGTCAGCTGTAATCTGGGTTGACTGCCTGTAGATTTAATACACAGTGTACTTTGTGAAACATACTAGCCAAAGTAAACATTTTTGCATTTTTTTTTTTTTTTTTCCCACAAGGTGTTTACATATACTAACTTTAGTGTACTACCGAAATTGACACCATGCTTTGAACACAGGCAGTAAACAAAAGAAATTGATACTTAGCTTCTGGTTATGAAAAGTACAAAATAAAAGTTTACTTACAGTTACTTTAACTTTTTTGAAATACACAGTTCTAGGATTTAATATTTAGCTCATTCTCTCTTCGCAGAATTGAGAGCATTAAAAAAAAACAACTCCATTGCTCCTGCACCGATCCATGGGTGGTCTCTGTACACATTACAGCTGTGGACCGAATAACGCAGTCGGTAAAGCGAATCCATGACCTTTATAGTGCAAGGCTGACAGCTTGAATACATGATGGCTATGGACACACATGAACAACAAAATAGCTAATAGCCGGCTGAAGCTTTAAGAAGTTTGTTTGTTTCCAGCTAGGTTTTTACTTATGCAAATTCCTAATTTCTGAATTGGGAGTTGAAAGGTCACCCAGCTATAGTGTTGAGTGCTTTTTACTACACTGTGGGGTGTGGAATTTCGTGCAGAAATTTTGTGGGTTATTGCCTCGGGCATGTTGTTGGCTGCACTAAAATGGCAGATGACTGATTATGTTCAGTGTGGCATGTAATTTTGCAGGTACATTTCTGGACTGATAGTATTGGCACATATGATATCAGCCTTATTAATTTTGATTGTGTATGCAAGCCCTAAGATTTTGCGTGGACTGACAAGTTTTCCCTCTAGTTTTCAAATGGGACAGTGAAGGACATTTTGTGGGTATTCCACTGGCACAGGAACGGTGCTGTTACGGGACGACTCATGTGCAGTGATGTTGGAACCGTGACTAATAACTCACATGGAGACCTGAAGAACAACTGATGGGACAGCTAATTATGTCTGAGACATCTGTGTCTACCTATACTTGTGTAACTTTTGTGTACAATTGTGTCTCCAGGGGATGTTGAACCAGCAACAGCGTTACTGTGGGCCTATTACTATCTTGCTAATCACTTTGACTTCCTGAAGAACACAGAAAAAGCTTTGACATATGTGAATCTTGGCATCGAGCATACGCCACTCCTGATTGAGCTCTATGTCCTCAAGGCAAAAATCTTTAAGGTGTGTACAAGTCTGCTGCAGTCATTTCACCAGTTCATTACAACGGTTTCACAAAATTTTCTTCTGCATTTGCTCTTAAAAGACCAGTGGGCAAGTTGTGCTGTGTTTGACAGTAAGGCTACAGATCTACGCCTTTCAGTCAACACATCAGATTTCAGCAAATCCCTGGTCATCTTTTTTACCGCTCAGTTGGGGGGGGCGGGGGGGGGGGGGGGGTGTGTGTGGAGGAGAGGGGGTACCCATGCTATCCAAGGACCTACCCATGCTATCCAAGGACCTACATGGGGATATCAGAAATTCACTGTTAGTTTCTTAGAACTCCTAAGCAAATGTAATTTATTTATTTACATATTTTCGTCAGTGTCAATAAGGGGAGATATTTACCACATCACCCTATGAGTGCAAATGAGTAAAGGACCCTTATTTACCCCGATGTTGCATCAGGCATATTCATACTAGAATTAGCACCTGATGTGGCGAGATCTTTACTGTGCTGTGTGCCTTTACTTCCTAGGACATTACCTGATACCCATTTTAGGTCAGGTTGACCTGGGAGCCTAGGTTATTTTTGAAGAAAAAAATCTCGATTCAGATTTAAACCAAAGAAATTTGATCCAGTACTAAAAGATTAATAAAAATTTTAGTCTAGCATCCTGTGGCTTGTGTGCCACTGGTTTTTTTAGCTACTTTTACTTTGTCTATAATTTGAGTTGTAGCTTCATTACAGTTTCAGCATGGTTATCCAATTTTGAAATATTTGAATGGGTTACAAGTATGTTGGACTGTTGTGGAATTACAAGCCTGCCAAAACCGGGGTCTGGCCCCTAGCTTCGTTCTTTACAACCATTATAGTTCAGAGGTCAACCAAGGCATAATAAAAAGGGTAGCAATTTCTCAGGATCTTCTTTTGGGGGAGGAGGGAGATGGCAACTGACCACCACATCTCACATGTCATGGCCCAGGAGAGTGCTGGCTATTCAAATGGTGGCCTGAAGGTCCTCTCTGGCCCTCAAAGGCCTAGTAAGTGGGCAGAGGATCACATGCCAACTGTATTGTTTTACTGATCTTTCTATGATTTTGCCTCTGACCCATAACAATCCCCATTTTCCAAAATTTTGGCCCCAGAAAATAAACTAAGCTGAATGGTACTGGCCTAAAATATGTGAGTCTATAACAACATCAGCTATGGTACAGCTTTATGTGTGTAAAAGAATTATGGCAGAGTAAATCATAATAAATAAAAATGTTAGCAACATTTAATGAAGTTCTTATCTTGTCTCATCATTTCCTGAACTATGACTACAGTTTATTTTATTTTTTTCATCACTGCTATGATTCATCATTGTTATCTAGTGCATTGTCAGCTGGTGTTGGTGATCGTGCTTCTTCACAACTTGCCATCTCCAAATGCTTGTATCACTTCTTTGTCATGGCACCCTTTCATGCCATGGCAAAAATTTTTTCCAGTTGTCACAGGGTTCAGCTCCCTTACACCCCCCCCCCCCCCCCCCCACCCCTTTTTTTAATAGTGTGACCAAATATGATGGCCTTCTCTTTTTTTGTGGATGATAAGTTGTAATTTTCATCATCATTCTGTCATTTTATTATGTGTAATAGGGCTTACAATCTTGCCCATAATTCTGTTCTTTCCTGTGTAGTTCTTTCGATATGGATGAAATCCAGCTCTTACCTCTGGCTCACCCCAGCACTGTTCATTTCAGGATTCCTTTTGGGCATCTTTGATTTTTCTGTTTATTTCAGGATTCCTTTTGGGCATCTTTGATTTCTCTGTTCATTTCAGGATTCCTTTTGGGCATCTTTGTTTTTTCTGTTTATTTCAGGATTCCTTTTGGGCATCTTTGATTTTTCTGTTTATTTCAGGATTCCTTTTGGGCATCTTTGATTTCTCTGTTCATTTCAGGATTCCTTTTGGGCATCTTTGATTTCTCTGTTCATTTCAGGATTCCTTTTGGGCATCTTTGATTTCTCTGTTCATTTCAGGTTTCCTGTCTTTTGTAATTCACTCAGGGACCCGTAAAGTTTGACTTTCACCGATGTTTCTCTTGGCTCAAAGTTTTGACTTGATATGTTGTATACTTTTTTTTTTTAAACTACTTTTTTTTGTCCATTTTGTTTCAGCATGCGGGTGATATTGATGAAGCTGTGCGGCTGATGGATGAAGCCCAGTCTTTAGACACAGCTGACCGCTACATCAACTCTAAGTGTGCCAAATACATGCTTCGTGCCAATCTGATCCAGGAAGCTGCTGATATGTGTTCCAAGTTTACTAGAGTAATCTTCTCTTTCATTCACCTTACATTCTTATAGTCATTGTGTGGCAGTTGGTTGTGGTTAACACTGGGGCATTCCCACAGCATAATGTGTGGAAGTGTGGCATTAGCATTAACTACAGAATTTGAGGTAGTGAGAGGAGTGAAGTACTTGCAACATACAGTATCTTATACTGTTGTGATAATGTAAGACAGTCTTATAGTATTCATTTTACCATCAAAATATTTGAGTATACTTTACTCTCAGTTGTTTTATTGATAATAATAAAGTGAGAGTTTGTCGCCTCAAGAAGATGTGAACCCAGCATTTTATTCGGTGGCTTGAGCCCATAAATGCTGCTTAACCATCTATTCTGCTATGGCCTATTCTAGAGAGAGGGGTTTAACAGCTTTGGCTTCTTTCTGCACCTGCTTCGTATAACTTTTTAAAGCCATTTTAACATCATAATTTGCCCATAGCCTTAGTGTCAGAATTCATACGTGGTCATGGAGTCAGAGCATAAGTCACTAGACACATTTTTGAGGCTCTGAGTAATGTATTCAATTTAATGCTTCACTTGTTTGTGTTTCATGATTACTCCCTTTAGATATTTTGGGGGGAAATTTGACATGTGAATAAACCTTTTGTTTAAAAAAATGTATTATCGGCTTTTGTGTACTTGTTCCTTCAACTTTTCGCCCCTTGAATGCGAAGAAAAAAATGGGCTAGGAACGCGTGAAAATTCCTGAAAAACTCCTTTCAAAAAACCTCTTATTTTACACAGGTGAAGAATAAATTAAATTGTTCAGAAATTAATGTACTTTAAAAAAAATTGTTTGCTTAGTATTTATATTTGTGATGAATCAACCTTACAGTTATGATTAAAATGTGGTTCACCTTATAATTTCAGTTACCCTTACTGTTCTGATAAACTTTTCGCTTCATCATTACTACTTGTCACTGTTTTGAGACTTCGTCATTACTGCTTGTCACTCTATCGAGACTTTATCGTTACTACTTGTCACTGTGTCCTCAGACAGTAAAAAAAATTAAATTTCCTAAAGTTTCTCACTGACATTATGTTTGGCTTGACAACCCTGGTGAATGACACAGTGGTGACACTATTTTGCTTGCAGGAAGGAATCTCAGCAGTGGACAACTTAAACGAAATGCAGTGCATGTGGTTTCAGACAGAATGTGCATTTGCCTACAAGAGGTTGGGGAAATGGGGTGAGGCACTGAAGAAATGTCACGAAATAGACAGGGTATGTATTTTATGTGATTGTTGCTATTTTGTTAGAACTTAGAGACAGGCTGTAGGTATCTGTCTCTCTGTCTGTCTTTGTATCTTAGTGTGAATGTGCAGGTCTTAACTGTTTTTTTTTTTTTAAATATGTAGTTTTTGTGTGTGTATAGGCGGGGGTGTTGTTTATGTGCTTCTCTTTTGTATTTATGTGTAAGTCTTGTGTATATGTGCTTGTCCTTTGTGTGTATGTGCATCCTGTACATTCTCTGTCAGTCAGGTCTTTGTCGGATATGACTGAACTACTCTAAAACAATCGGCGTCACTGTGGCGTTGGTGGTTCGACGCCTGCCTGCAGATCAGTAGGTCGTGGGCTTGTGTCCTGTCAGATCTAGACCTTTTTTTTTAAAGTGACCTTGACTCCCAGGTCGACCCAGCCTTGAGTGGGTACCAGATGCAGTCCTGGGAAGTAAGGGCGGCCTGTGTGATGCTGACCACATCACCCACCAAGTGCCAATTGATCTATTGAAATATAGGCCTAGCCCTGTATCCTTAATATGCCTAAAGGTGTGGAAAAGGGATCTTTATTTTACTCTAAAACAGTAGTCGGTACTACCTGTTCCCTGTTGATGCTAAATGTTTTGGGTGGCGTATACCAAACTGGTATCCTAAACTTTGCAAACAGCTTCAGGCAGAGGAGTACTTTAGGAAGAATACTAGCCTTGTCCCAGCAAGAGGAAATACAACCTGAAAATGTTATGTCGTGGCAGGGCAGAACAAGTCCATAGCTGACAGGTGGACAGATAGAGCATTGTGCTTCTGATCTGGCAGCTTCAGCAGCATGCTTTGTTCCGAACCTTTCCTTTGGTATGAACAAAGTGGGCTAAGGGAGGGATCAGGCTGTATGGGCAACACATGGTCTTTGCAATACTGACCAGCTTTCTGTTGGGGAGGGATGTACTTTATCGCTGGCCTTAATTGGGCTATGATTCCCTGCTTTCCTAAAGCACAGTGGAATATACTATTGTTGGATAAAACTGAAAAGTGACAGTAACAAGTTGCTGTTAGCAAATCCTTTAGGTTATTTTTATATGTTCTTCTTCCACATATATCACTGCTTGCCTCTTGCTTTCAAATTTCCCTCAGTAGTCTTAATAAGTATATATCTTTTACTGTGTCTAGTATATTTCATGTCCCTATTTTGCTTTTAAATTTACCAGCTCTGTTTTTATATCCTGTCTCTTGACAGGGTGTTGTCTAAGATAAATGTAACCTATAATTGTTCTGATGTAACTTGTAAAAATTGTTTTTTTTCCTTTGATGGATATATTGACCACTTCAGACATGTTCATTCTCAGCACTTCACGGAGATTGTGGAGGACCAGTTTGACTTCCACACATACTGCATGAGGAAGATGACGCTGCGGTCTTATGTAGGATTATTAAGACTAGAAGACTCGTTACGTAGCCACCCATTCTACTCCAGAGTAGCACTGCTGGCTGTGGAGGTAATCTAGTGTCTACGTATATGTGATGGTGCATCTTACTGGGAGTCTGTACCTACATTTGTACTTTATAATTTTGCAAATGAATTTCCAGTTTAGAGATAACTCTTGAAAAAAGTGAAGAACTTCGGTTACTTGAAGCATATCATCAGCGTATCAGATGACAGAGCTGAGAATAGATGCAGTAAAACAAATTATTTGGCAGAGGGCACATATAATGAAATACAAATATATTAGTAGATACTAGGTATGTCATACAGAGATCACTTTACAAGTGGCAAAGTTTGTGTGTCATCACATTGAATCTCTTAACAGCAGGGAAAAGATGGAAATGTTATGGTACGGATATGTAATTACACTGGCTTCTTCAAAATGATGCTTCATTGCTTGGTACATGGAATAAAAATAAATAAAATTTGGGGGGTTGAATTAAGGCATGTCGTCTCTTATTGTTTGCTGTTGTGAATATTTTTGGGCCCCCCCCCCCCCCCCCCCCCCCCCCCCCCCCCCCCAGACATTTTAAATATTTTAGGTGATGCTAGATAGGCTGCATGCAGTCGTGGGATCTATGCTGCACTCTTTCATGAGATGTAGATGGGTTGGGGTTAGGCTCAGTTCTAGATGTTTAGGGATTAGTAGAAGCATCAGAAAGCTGGGAAACCCGCTGTTGCCGCCCTAGAAAATATTGGACTATCCCATGACATCATCGTGGGGGGAGATATTGGGAAAGCACCATATTTTGTCCCCTTTATGATTTCTAATTACATTGACTAATTCAGTCTTAGAGTATCACCAAGAGCCTTTCTGAGTGGGTTCCATGTCCCCATTTATGGGTTAGAGAGAAAAAGACAAAATGCTGCACAAGAGTGTTGTAAAAGGTGACTAATTGATGATTTGCTGTGAAATTGGATGTTGGGCTGAAACACAGATAATCACAGCCTAGCTGTAAACAGCAAAGCGTGCCAGTTGTCCTTTTTTTAAGGACAGACTCATTTTTAAATCCAAGTTGCCTGGCAAGAGTGATCATGTTCCTGCAGTTTTTTGCATTTAACATAATCTGTCTGTTTGTGTGCCATCTTTCCACACCATCATCTTTTCTTTCAGCCCTCAGTCTCTGGATATGTCAGTTTTACCGGTTGTTACAGTGTGTCCCTGTTTTGTCCTTTCTGATCATGATCAACAACATGAAGTGCCTTGCTGACTGGCATGGTGATCAGCCGCTCCGAAAGGTGCAGTCTCCCACAGCATGTATCAGTTTGTGTGCTGACACCCTCCATGCTACGACCACAAATACTTCCAAGAATCTTCTCGCATTGTCTTCCTTTTGCCATAAATCTGTCCGGTTGTCACATGTTCCTAAACTAAGCACCCTTTTGCGGGTTGCAATTTTTCGTTATTTTGAAGTAGCCAGGGGCTGAAATATAGCCTGGCCACAAATATGGCCTAATGGCTGAACGCGTGTTCCCGGACCTCTATATGGGTGATCCTCATCCACAAGGTAGCACTTTGTGTCATCTGATGTTTATCGCTTGTGTGATGTCCTGGTGGGGTAGAATGTACTACTGCTACTACTAAATGTTCCCGATTCTTTCTCATTGACATATGGTTAGTTGCGTATCCTTTACAGGACGTTGCAGAACCAACCTCAGCAGTCCCTGGCTGTTGTGTGATTTCTGTAGGCAAATTTACGTCCAGTAGTTTGCCATTGCTTTCTGGATGGTCGGCCCCCTGATACCACTGTCGAAACCAACGCAAGGCCTGCAGCTGGGATCGAACCCGGCACCCCGGCATTACAAAGCGTTCGCATCGACTTAGCCACAGTCTTTCTCATTGCATGACCAAAAAAATGAGGGCGGTCTCTTTCTGTTTGTGAAAATTTTGTCTTTGCATCTTTTAAAACATGGATTACTAATTTTGGCTATCCAAGGAATTTCAAGAATTTCCTTTTTGATATTGTGACCAAAATGTGATGACTGTCTTGACTCTTTCTGTTTGTATGTAAACTTCTGTCGAAACATTTGTATTACTCATCAAAACTCCAGATACAGACTGCAGGTTTGTGTCAGCTAAGTTTGAACCAGTAACTTGTGGGCCTGAGATGAGCACCCTTTTTGTGGCAATACTTTGCTTCTGATAATGGGGGTTCCCAGAAGCTTTCATAATTTCTGTCATTCAGTTACATGTTCAGTCTTTTTTGTTTTCTATTTTCACTTGGTATTTAAATGTGATTGGCTGGCATTTAGTTCCTTGGTACGATGATGCCTTTTTTCCTATCGTGAGCAGAAGTAAAAATCCTAACTTAAATAGTCCTTGGTGACTGCTCAATCAATGCGACCCTAAAGCCTCCGGTTCAAGACCCTCTCTCTTTGTCCGACGCAGCACTAAAGAGTGGTGGTAAATACTTACAGTAAAGACAGACATTGTTAACTCTGTTGCCAACTAAAGTAGCACCGAACCATTTCATCCAGCATCATTTATAAATTTAGCACTAAGTCTGTGTACATGCAATATGGAAAGCAGCGCTACTGACAGAAGAATAAGTATGTGTAGTAACTGTATTAGGTCTTGATCAACTGTGTGCATTCAGTGGACATGAAAACATGATTCTAATTCAGTGTTGTTTGTTTCAGATATACTTACACTTGTACGATCACCCACTGGCAGATAGTGATCACGAACATGATGCAAATTCAGGTGTGTTCACTTTGATGTATATCTTTTTTCTTCTTCTCTTTCTCGCTCACCGGCTGTAAACTCAGGCAGAAGTTTCTGGTTGTTCATCCACTTCTGGGCTGTAGCTTTGTTCCGGAACCTAAGTTTTGCATGCGCATCTGTTTTACAGATCTGGCTAATTTGTGTGCAGACTGTTGGTTCTTTACCCTCAGCTGTGAGGCAGATGAACTCCAACCTCGAAGGGAACATCGCTAATTAGTCGATTAGTGAGAATTATCGCCACAGCACTCCGGGCAGATCCTGGGTGCCCAGACCTCCCATTCATTAGCTTCCCAAGTTAAAAATGACTGATTTTGCCTGTTATCAATTGATTAATCAATTATCAAACCTTTTGTTCTGTTCATTCAGTCCATTAGGTGCCATTTCTTCAATGAAGGTTGGCTGCAATGGATTTTCGTCACGCTGTCTCTCTTCTCTTAGTTGTACCCTCACTCTATCAGACTGCTGCTGTTTGTCTATCTCTCAATGATGTCCTCCAACCTGTATAGTCTACCACATGTTCTACCTCTTGCTCTCTTGCCCTCGACCTTTCATCACTCCAAAAGTCTCTTTTTTTATTTTTCAGTAAGTCTTTCGTTGTGCTTCCATTGGAAGCTGCGAAGATGTGGTTTTATAGACAAATAATGAGAATACCCTGGACAGATAAAAAGAGTAATGGAGATGTCCTGAAAGAAACTGACTCATAAAGAGAGCTGTTTGCCCACATCATAAAGAGACAGTTTACATTCTTTGATCATGTGATGAGATGGAGAAAACGAGTACCAGATGACAGTAGGAAAGCTGGAGGGGAAGAGAGGCAGAGGGAGACCGAGAGAACTGATGCTGGACAGTGTGACATCATGGTATGGAGGATCATCGGTGTCACAGTTGAATGAAAGTACATGAGATAAAAGGTTGTGAATAGACATTCCATTGCTAACTTTAGGTTGTTACATGGTGAAGTCCCAATCTCTTCCCCAATGGCTGGCCGTATTTTCTGTGGTGTCCTGAACACACCTCATGTGTGCTACCTCACACAATGCTTGTTCTCTTTAGAAGTCACTGATCTTTAAAGATTCTTCTGGCCTTGTTCACCATCCCTGTCTTCATTTTCTGGGGATAGGCATTCTCTTAGAGTATGATATTACTCCTACTTCACCAATGTAGATTAGCCAGTCAAGACTTTTGCCCATGGTGTGGCCACCGCTGTACACAAGCGATATCCATGGAGCCATCCACGAGCTAGATAAAGATGGGAACCAAATAGGCTTCTGGACTGTCCATTCTGGGCTGAAAGGTTTCTGTTTTCACCCTTGAGAGGGCGGTTGGTACATTGTAGTATCATATAATGCTAGGCTGAAATAATTGTGCCTTTTAACCCAGCACTTCAGATTTCATAAAATACTTCCCAAATTAGACACCTTTTACAACATGGTTTTGGGTGGGGAGTGTGTTGTTTGTCTTCCCCCCCCCCCCCCCCCCCCCCCCCCCCCCCCCCCCCCCCCCCCCCCCCCCCCCCCCCCCCCCCCCCCCCCCCCCCCCCCCCATGGGACTCCTAAACTGCGACTAGGGTTAAGATTTTATTGTGAAGACATTCTCATTAGTACATTCAACAGTTTTTTTTTTTAGTGATTATCTGACTTTCAAGCGCGGTTTCAAATTACCATCCATTCCTCTTTTATCCTTTTTATGCTTGCTGAATTACTGCCATTTGTTAGGCATACTTTTGTTTTGTAAATGGATTTATTTGAGGTGTGGTTGAAATGTTTAATTTTGTCTCTCTTCTACAGAAAACCTTACCCCTAGTGAGTTGAAAAAAATGAAGAGGAAACAGAGGAAAGCCCAGAAGAAAGCTGAATTAGAGAGGGAAAAACAAAAGGCAGAACAAGAAAAGCGTGATCAGAACAAAACCAAAGCTGCAGATGGGGAAATGGATGGTCCGAAAGAGGAAGAATTGGTTCCTGATAAATTGGCTAGGGTAAGCAGAGCATATCCCTGTTTTGTTTTGTGTTTACCTTGACAACAGTTAGCATAGTGTTTTGAAACACTGAGGGTGCCTTTAAAGTGGAAGGGGGGGGGGGGGGGGGGGGGGGGGGGGGGCTTGCAATGAAATCATTTATGAATAGTGGCAACTGAAGGTGCTTTCTAGTGCTTTTGGTTGGTTTCTCTAGGTACAAATCAATATTATTTCTGTGGTTGTGGAAGTTTGGTGCAGGTAGCAGTTTGTTGGGAGTAAGTGATACATTGTTGTTGTGTGCAGGTAGTAGTTTGTTGGCAGTAAGTGATACATTGTTGTTGTGTGCAGGTAGTAGTTTGTTGGGAGTAAGTGATACATTGTTGTTGTGTGCAGATTATAGTTATTGGAAGTAATTGATACATTGTTGTTGTGTGCAGATTATAGTTATTGGAAGTAATTGATACATTGTTGTTGTGTGCAGATTATAGTTATTGGAAGTAATTGATACATTGTTGTTGTGTGCAGATTATAGTTATTGGAAGTAATTGATACCTTGTTGTTGTGTGCAGATTATAGTTATTGGAAGTAATTGATACCTTGTTGTGTGCAGATTATAGTTTTTGGAAGTAATTGATACCTTGTTGTTGTGTGCAGATTCTAGTTATTGGAAGTAATTGATACATTGTTGTTGTGTGCAGATTATAGTTATTGGTAGTAATTGATACATTGTTGTTTTCTGCAGGCTAATGATCCTTTAGATCATGCAATCCATTTCCTGAAGCCACTTCAGATGCTGACACCAAAGTGCATCAACACTCATGTTAAAGCATACGAAATATATTCTCGTAAAGGTGGGTTCTGTTAAGCGGATTCCAACTATAGTACATGACATAGGCATATACTAACTAGGAAGAGCATTAATGGTTAATCATATTTGTCTGACACGCTGTAAAAACTACAAGGTGACTTAGAACAGTCTCACTGCTGAAATACAATCGTCCCAACAGAATAATATACGATACTTACGCATGTATAGGTCGCAGTATTTTGACCAGAAATTAAGTGCGACTTACATTTGAGATATTATGTCACTTCTCCAAAATTTATTAATAAACATAACAGTTCTTTAGTCATCCACCCTTTATTCTGCATTTTGACCAATATTGTAGGCGGTTGCTTCTCCTTAGACATGGATTTACTTTTAAAAATTATGTAAGATGGGAGTTTATGTCGGCACTAGCATTACGTTCCACCACTTTTTCCCCCTGCTCCTGAAATTTGCATGTGCACAGTTTTGGTCACTGTTGTTTCACCTGGCATAGTGAGGAATACAGAAGTTTCATCTGCATTTCCAGTTGCCCCAGTGTGTAGTTATTTCTGTAACTTCAGAACATGTCTTTAAAATGCAGTATCTCCTGGAAGGTGTCCGGAAGTCATTGCATCATTGTTGTTTGCTGCAGAATCACGGGGTCATTTCATGCCATTACTGGCTTTACATTCACTCTGAGGAATTTACATCTTTCGCTGCTTACAGATATTACTGTGTCAGTTTCGTCTCAAAAAAATTATATGAAAATTTTTTTTTTACCTAAAATTATTGTCTCAGAAACTAGGTGCAGCCTGAGACGTGTAAATACGATAAAGGCACAGTACTAAAATAACCTGTCCCAACAGACTCCGTCCACAAACAACCAAATAATGAAAAATGAATACATGTGCAGTATGACTGGAAGTTCAGCACGCAAAAGATAAAGACACAGATGCACAGGAACCTTTCCTTCAAAGTCTTTTTCCATAGGCAGAGCATGGAAGAGAAGAATACTTACTGTTCATTACTAGTAATTCTGTTTTCCTTCTGCATCAATGTTGTGGTGTACCAGTAAGTTACATCCGATTTCAGCGAACCCTTAATTAATTACTTGTCTTTTGTGTGTACGGGAGGTGGGTCTTTTAACCTCACAAAATTGGGCTCTGGAACCCTCACAAAGTAAATAGTATATAAAATATGAAGTAAAATTAAACCTAAAGGTGGGGGAGAGAATCTTTAAGACTTTCTGGCTGTACAATAAAAGTTGACCTTGTAGTTTGTTCCTCCACAGACTACCAATATACTTTTTATTAGGTGATGTAATAGCATGCAGGGTTAAGATTATGTTTTAATTATTAATGGAAAACTAAAATATGGCAATTTGAATTAGTTAGATATAAGTTCAGGTTGCAATTTCTTTTTTTTTTCTTTTTCTAAATGCAACCTATGTTTCAGTTGTATACTGCAAAACAGTATGAATCTGTGGGTAATGAAAATGGCAGGTGTCTTGATAACCGATGAGATGTAAAGTTTATCACATCACCTTAGTCTCAACTAACATGTGCTGGGGATAAGATGTAAAGTTATCACATCACCTTAGTCTCAACTAACATGTGCTGGGGATGAGATGTAAAGTTATCACATCACTTTAGTCTCAACTAAAATGTGCTGGGGATGAGATGTAAAGTTATCACATCTCCTTAGTCTCAACTAACATGTGCTGGGGATGAGATGTAAAGTTATCACATCACCTTAGTCTCAACTAACATGTGCTGGGGATGAGATGTAAAGTTATCACATCACCTTAGTCTCAGCTAACATGTGCTGGGGATGAGATGTAAAGTTATCACATCACTTTAGTCTCAACTAACATGTGCTGGGGATGAGATGTAAAGTTATCACATCACCTTAGTCTCAACTAACATGTGCTGGGGATGAGATGTAAAGTTATCACATCACCTTAGTCTCAACTAACATGTGCTGGGGATGAGATGTAAAGTTATCACATCACCTTAGTCTCAACTAACATGTGCTGGGGATGAGATGTAAAGTTATCACATCACCTTAGTCTCAGCTAACATGTGTTGACAGTGCCTTTATGTTTCTCGGTTCCACAGGGAAGTTGCTCTTGATGCTTCAGTCCATAAAAAGGGGTGTCCTAGCCGATCGTGCCAACCCTCAGTTTCATATCTGCCTCATCCACTTTCTTCAGTATGGTAAGTATTGATCAGTGAGCTGTCAGGAGCAGCAGCTGGATCTCACATCTGTACCATGTATATTAAATATAGTTATTGCTTTAAGTTTTGATTCTTTGACATAATTTAATGTTTTCCGTCTGGTGACCTCCATTGTTCCTTATGTCATTAAGAACAAATGGGCTCAGTTAAGGTAGTGTATAGGCAGAACAGTCTTCAAAGATGGGTAACATGGAGGTATCAGAAGAATGAATAACAACCCCATTATCAAGTTTCTTTTTAGCTTTCAGAGGCAGGGAAAACTCAGAAGTAGATAAGATCTGAGATTGATGTCATGTGCTAAAAGCCTCCAGAGAATATCTGTGGAGAACTGAGATTTGATGGCATGTGCTAGAAGCCACCAGAGAATATCTGTGGAGAACTGAGATTTGATGGCATGTGCTAGAAGCCACCAGAGAATGTCTTACGAGAACTGAGATTTGATGGCATGTGCTAGAAGCCACCAGAGAATGTCTGTGGAGAACTGAGGTTTGATGGCATATGCTAGAAGCCACCAGAGAATGTCTGTGGAGAACTGAGATTTGATGGCATGTTCTAGAAGCCACCAGAAAATGTCTGTGGAGAACTGAGTTTTGATGGCATATGCTAGAAGCAACCAGAGAATGTCTGTGGAGAACTGAGACTTGATGGCATGTGCTAGAAGCCACCAGAGAATGACTGGAGAACTGAGATTTGATGGCATGTGCTAGAAACCACCAAAGAATGTCTGGAGAACTGAGCATTGATGGCATGTGCTAGAAGCCACATGTGCTAGAAGCCACCAGAGAATGTCTGTTAGTTCTAATTCTAGCTGATGACAAGTTCTGGTTGTTGGTTACAGTCATGCCTCTTTGAGAAGACTGCAGCATATTAAACATAATATGTATTACTGATAGTTATCAGAAACACAAACAGTGTATACTGGCATTGTGCATATGTTGTGTCATTTAGTTTTTTTTTAAGGACACAACTCACACCCAAATGATTAGAATACAAATTGGAAAGCAAAGTTATTGTGTCACATCAGACATAACAGGGGAAACAGATAAATATGTACATGTGTTGCCTGGGGTGGGGGAAAGCACAGAATGGTAATGCTGTAATACATGTATGTTGTGTGAGTAGGCTAGGAAGGGTAGATGTTGAAGGAAGGACAGCAGAGGTGGTAGAAGAAATAGAACACTGTAGAATACATGCTAGTTATATATTGTGTGAACTCTTGTGCATGTTTCTGAGTTAATTGAAATCTGTGATGCTTCCTCCTTCTAGTGCAAGAGCAGGGTGAGATCAAAGGACCAGCTAAAACTGTGATAACCCAGGAAATGACAAATATCTACCAAGGGAAGACAGCCCTGGAACTCAATGAGGAATTCATTGCTGCCAACAGCGAGTCTGTAGAACATCGACTGGCAGGTTAGTTTGTCAGCAGTGTATTATGTTTTGTATTTCTTCTCCTTATTGTCTGTCTGCTCTTCCTTTGCATGATATGTGACCTGGTCTTGATTTATCTCTATTTCGTGGTACTGTCTTTCCCTATTTTGCTTGGTCTTCCCCTTGCTATATGTTTAGTATAATTCTTGGTGTGGTGCTGTGGCAGTTAGTACTAGGCATTCTTGTCTGACATTTGCATCTGACTTTCTTTGAGTGTCTGAGGAGAAGCACATTAAACACAAATGTTGGCAACAATTGGTCCTGAAATCCCATTCTATAATTGTGGAAGACTTTTCTTAACAGGGGGGTGGGTCTTGCTAGTCAAACTCGCCATCGCCATGGGGTGAGAGTCCCATGCGTCCTCAGCGCAGTATAAAACTATCGTCTCGAAAGGTGCCAGTTGGTTATAGTAAAGGTCCATGTTGAAGCATTAATATGATGTCTTATATTCTCTTACTATAGCTGTGATCAAGTGTTACTGTCAAATATCTGTTTGTGGACATTTATTTCTCAGCCCTATTGGCTACCTTGTGAAACTAAACTGTTTCTACCAGTTTAACATTGTTACAAGCACAGTGAAATTAAATAGAAGATGAAAAGATGGGGATCAACAGACTACATATGAGGTTCAAGGCAGTGTTATGGGCGTAGTTTAGGAACAACAGCAAGTCACCAGTGGCCTGTACTCCATTGGGAGATATAGGAACCAACACCCCCCTAGACAACAACAAAAAACAGACAAGGAAACACTGCGTTTGATTAAGCAAGAAGTATCTAGACTTGTGCAAAGAAGAGAGAATTACTTTAAGTTCAAATGTAAAGTTCAGCGCTTAAACAACCAAAAGAAAAAAACTACTACTAGCTACACAAAAACAAAAATATACGGCACCTGGGATGTAGCGTGTTAGGCTTTTAAAAATTTCAAACGGTGACTTATGGATTGAGATTACCAGTTCCCTTCCACATTGCCTTGCCTCACTATGATAAATAACAATACATTTTTGAGTTAAGAACCAACATCATAGGACTCGAAATATTCCCGCCCTCATCTTCCAGAGTTCCAATTCTGCTGGTACCAGTAACAGTCTGATTATATGTCTGCCTCACCCCTGTCCCGAATGTTGAGTGTCGGCCAGATCCCTGGTCACTCCTAGCTGCTGCACTGTTCTGTTCCGACCATTGTTTTTGCGCTTTCAATTTGTTTACTATAACTGCACTACTTGGTGATATCAAATCAGTTTCTGTAATCCCCCGTGTGGGTTCCGCGGCCCCATTGTGGGGGAAACAAGAATAGACCCACTGCCTCCTCAACAAGCATGTTGTAAGAGTCGACTAATTGGGGAGCTTCCTTTGAAGTCGGAGTGCATCGGCCGGAGAGACAAGGAACCAACAGTCTGTATTCAAGAGAATGAGATCTGTAAAACTGATGCACACGCAACACTCAGGTTCTGGAGCAGGACTGCAGTTCAGTAGTGGACGAGCAACCAGAACTTTCCGCCAGAGTTTACAGCTGGTGAACACGAAGAAGAAGAAGTTTCTGTAATCAGACTAATAAACAGTGTTGCAAGTGATAACAATGCAGTGTCTGTAATCAGTCTTATAAACAGTTATTGCAGGTGATAACAATGCAGTGTCTGTAATCAGACTAATAATTAATTGTTGCAGGTGCACGCATGATGTACAAGCTAGATAAATCTCGGCAGGAAGAAGCGGCCATCCTTGCCACCTGTCTAGATTCTCATTTACATGGTATAACCATTCAGGTAATTCAGTTTTTTTCGCAATTGTTGTGCTGTTTAAGTGATAGTCTTGATAAGGATATGTGGCAATTGCATATTAGATCCAGTTTTCATGTTCAGGTTCCTCGATTCCACAATTCAAAAAACATATTGTGCTCTAGCTGGTTGTGTATGTCATTATCTCCTCGTAACTTTCTGGTTTAATTTGTCATACTTACCAAAAAAATGTTTCTCTTTCGTCGTCGTCCCCCCCCCCCCAATTACTTTTTTACCTCCTCTCGCCCTGCTGACTGGTGTGGCCTGTCACTGTCATATTTCTGCTGCTGTTGACAATACATGTTCTGTTTTTTTTAATGCTTTCCTGAGCTGTAGATAATCTAAACCAGTTGATTTAGATGTTGCTTACCTTTTCAAACTGCTGTAGATAATCTAAACCTGTTGATTTAGATGTTGCTTTCCTTTTCAAACAGCTGTACGGTTTTGTATCCTCCATGTTTCAGATTTGCATAAGCACAGCCAACAACAAACAAACAGAAATGCAATTATTGTTATTCTCATCTTTATTTAACAATATATTATTTATAAAAAGGAAAGAAACAGACTCCGTTTTATAGTTGATGGCATACTGGATTGTTGCTGACTCTTACACTTATAAAGAGTTGGCACTGAGTGATCTTCTGCTTCTTCTTCACATTTACCAGCTGTAACCTCCAGCCGAATTTTCTGGTTGTTCATCCACCTCTGGACTGTAAATCGTGTTCAAAAACCTGAGTGTTGCATGCACATCAGTTTTACAGATCTGACCTATTTGTGTGCAGACTGTTGGTTCCGTGTCTCTCAGGTAGATGCACTCTGATTTTGAAGGAAGCCCCCGTTAGTTGACTCGGTCTATTATCATCTCCACAAGGCCTTGGAGCCCACATGGGGGAATAATTCACTATGACACCTGCTGCGTTCATTTTCCAGAGGGTTTCCTGATGCAAGACTTAGGCTGGGTCAGTCTAAGCAGAAGACACAAATTAAAAATGTGTGTAGTCATCAAAACACTGGGCGAACAGAGGAGTGTGGATCAGGCTGTCAGAGCACAAATCACACTTGCATGGGCTTTTAATCATATTAGGCAGGTTAACAGCAGGCAGTGCAGAATCAGTAATTCAAGAACTGATTCATGACAATTTCAACCCAAGTGATGTCATCATCTATACAGATGGACCTGTGTTGAGAGGTAGAAAAAGTGCATGGGGGGGGGGGGGGGGGGGGGATGTGTTAATGCAAAAGCTTAGTACAACAAAGCCTAGGATTTGATACCACATTTAGTTTGAGAATCTTCTTCTTCTTCGCGTTCACCAGCTGTACACTCTGGCGGAAAGTTCTGGTTGATCGTCCACTACTGAACTGCAGTCCCGCTCCAGAACCTGAGTGTTGCGTGTGCATCAGTTTTACAGATCTCATTCTCTTGAATACAGACTGTTGGTTCCTTGCCTCTCCGGCAGATGCACTCCGACTTCAAAGGAAGCTCCCCAATTAGTCGACTCTTACGACATGCTTTTGGGGAGGCAGTGGGTCTATTGTTTTCCTTACAATGGGGCCCCGGAACCCACACGGGGGAGTTTGAGAATGAAGGTCAAGGCCACCCCAGCAAATTTTTCACTGGCTTAAGAGCCATCTGCACAAACGGGACTGACCGACTCACAAGGATATGATGAGAAAGATATGCTCATTCCAGTGGCAAGCATAATTTCAGTTCCCTGGTAGTTAGCATCCTTTGGAAATGTACTCCATGGCGTGCAGGTGTGTTGGGGAATAAAGAGACTGATTGGAAGGTGGTGCTGTATCACTGGGTATGTATGTATCACTTGATACATGACAAGCTAGATGTGGTCAAGGCCCTTTGGGAGCCAGTAAACAAAATGGAATTGTGTGTAGATCAGTAAGGTGTGAAGAGAATGGTGCAGTGGGGTGTGGCTACTTGATCTGTACATTCTATACCAGGGAAAAAAAGGCAAGATGGACATATATATAGTCAGTACCAACAGCAGTCTGATTGTATAGCCATCTTGCTTTGCCTCTGAATGTAAAGTGTCGGCTGGATCCAGTGGTCACACCCCTCTGAACTATTCAAAAGACTGCAATAAACCAAAAGCTCTGGTAAATATGAAGTTTCTATTTTCTGAGCAGTTCTTTAAAAAAACTGCTATTTTATTATACTTCAGAACTGCATACAGGTGCTGGAGTGTTTATGTCGAGGAGACCTGGGCACATGTGAGAAAGCGGCCACCGACTATCAGTCTCAGTGTCACAGGCTTTTTCCCTACGCTGCAGCCTTTGTGACCCCCTCAGCAAACAGTGTTAGCGGCGACATCCCAGCAGAACAAATTTTAGTCAATGGGTCAGTGTTCAGTGAATCATGATATGAGAGCAGCTGATTAGAAAGGAGAGAGGTCTTACAAGTGTGTCCCCTTCATCCTGTGTAAATGAGTGCATACATCTTAGTGGTTCTACAGTTGAAGGTGAGATCTGTTTGCAGCAGATGTGATTAGTGTTCAGCACACTCACTGTCTTTTATAAAGATAACAGTTTGTTCCTCGGTGCTGTTTCTTTGGGGAGGGGGGGGGGGGGAATGGCACACTCAGGGTATTTACAGGCACGTTGCAGAGATGCATTGTTTGATTAGGGTCAAGTTGTTCCAGTCTGAGTGTGTTAGCCATGTGCTAGTTTGAGATCTGTCTGGAATGTTCTGTGGATGGGTGTTATTTTACTGTTAATGAACGTCGCTCATATTTGTTTCCCCTTATTTTTTTAAATCTGATAGAATGTTATTGTGAGGCGATTTCTCAAGTGGCCTGGCCTGTTAATATTTGTTTAAATTAAAAAAAAAAGCCATCAGCTTCAGTAATAGGCAGGCCAAATATTGTCAGGGCTAGGAGTGAAGAACAGGCAAAGGATGCACACACATGGAGACATGTCATGAGAGATGGCAAGAGAACATTATTCATACATTCAAGACGTTGTGTCACAAAAGCTCCAAGAAAATATTTTATAAACATATTGAAGAGGACTAGATGAGAAGTTTGGTGATGTGGTTTATGTTTTCTGGTCACCTTCTTCTGTCTGTACCTTCATTGGGTGAGATGTATTTTATTTCTCTAGTTTATAACTGTCGGACACAGCTCAGGCAAGCAAGTTTAAACACACTCACCCTCTCCATGTAAACTTGTGTATATCAGGTTCATGCTGGTGATAAAAACAGAGAATATTCAGATTCTGTACATATTTTCACATAGTATTTTGAAATGGGTTTATAGCTTCACCACAGCAAAATATGACAAAGTAATGACTGTAAAACTGAAAGAGTACTTGACTGCCAGTAGGACAGACAGGGGAAAGTGGATGGTAGACAGTTGAGAAGCCTGTCTTGTTGTGACAGTAAACTGTTGTGAGAGAAGCAGGCTGGGGTGTTACTGTCATCTGACTTGACTGTGACCTTCACAGCAGAGTTAGATCACCAGTTCATATTGAAAGACTGTTGACCCAGATAGTGATAATTACAATAGTGATTTTCCAATTTTATCTGTTGTCACAAAAGAAGTGTAGAAAAGCTCTAGAAAATCACTGTTGTTGAATTATTAGATGTGACTGTGCCTGCCACCAGGTCTGGAAAACAACACTATTGTCGAAGTGTTAGTTGTGACTGCAGGCCACCAAGTCTGAAAACATATCAGTCATTGAAGTGATAGAAGTGACAGTGTAGGGGTCTGGAACAACATTGTTGTTGAAGTGTTAGTTGTGATGACTGCAGGCCTCCAGGTCTGGAAACTTGTTAGTTGTGACTGCAGGCCTCCAGGTCTGGAAACATGTTAGTTGTGACTGCAGGCCTCCAGGTCTGGAAACATGTTAGTTGTGACGACTGCAGGCCTCCAGGTCTGGAAACATGTTAGTTGTGACTGCAGGCCTCCAGGTCAGGGAACATGTTAGTTGTGACTGCAGGCCTCCAGGTCTGGAAACATGTTAGTTGTGACTGCAGGCCTCCAGGTCAGGAAACTTGTTAGTTGTGACTGCAGGCCTCCAGGTCTGGAAACATGTTAGTTGTGACGACTGCAGGCCTCCAGGTCTGGAAACATGTTAGTTGTGACTGCAGGCCTCCAGGTCAGGAAACATGTTAGTTGTGACTGCAGGCCTCCAGGTCTGGAAACTTGTTAGTTGTGACTGCAGGCCTCCAGGTCTGGAAACATGTTAGTTGTGACTGCAGGCCTCCAGGTCTGGAAACATGTTAGTTGTGATGACTGCAGGCCTCCAGGTCTGGAAACTTGTTAGTTGTGACTGCAGGCCTCCAGGTCAGGAAACTTGTTAGTTGTGACTGCAGGCCTCCAGGTCTGGAAACATGTTAGTTGTGACTGCAGGCCTCCAGGTCTGGAAACATGTTAGTTGTGACTGCAGGCCTCCAGGTCTGGAAACATGTTAGTTGTGACTGCAGGCCTCCAGGTCTGGAAACATGTTAGTTGTGACTGCAGGCCTCCAGGTCTGGAAACTTGTTAGTTGTGACTGCAGGCCTCCAGGTCTGGAAACTTGTTAGTTGTGACTGCAGGCCTCCAGGTCTGGAAACATGTTAGTTGTGACTGCAGGCCTCCAGGTCAGGAAACATGTTAGTTGTGATGACTGCAGGCCTCCAGGTCTGGAAACATGTTAGTTGTGACTGCAGGCCCAGGTCCAGGTCCAGATCTGGAAACATGTTAGTTGTGACTGCAGGCCTCCAGGTCTGGAAACATGTTAGTGTGTGACTGCAGGCCTCCAGGTCTGAAACATGTTAGTTGTGACTGCAGGCCTCCAGGTCTGGAAACATGTTAGTTGTGACTGCAGGCCTCCAGGTCTGGAAACATGTTAGTTGTGACTGCAGGCCTCCAGGTCTGGAAACATGTTTAGTTGTGACTGCAGGCCTGCAGGCCTCCAGGGTCTGGAAACATGTTAGTTGTGACTGCAGGCCTCCAGGTCTGGAAACATGTTAGTTGTGACTGACTGCAGGCCTCCAGGTCTGGAAACATGTTAGTTGTGACGACTGCAGGCCTCCAGGTCTGGAAACATGTTAGTTGTGACTGCAGGCCTCCAGGTCTGGAAACATGTTAGTTGTGATGACTGCAGGCCTCCAGGTCTGGAAACATGTTAGTTGTGACTGCAGGCCTCCAGGTCTGGAAACATGTTAGTTGTGACGACTGCAGGCCTCCAGGTCAGGAAACATGTTAGTTGTGACGACTGCAGGCCTCCAGGTCTGGAAACATGTTAGTTGTGACTGCAGGCCTCCAGGTCTGGAAACATGTTAGTTGTGACGACTGCAGGCCTCCAGGTCTGGTAACATATCAGTCATTGAAGTGTTAGTTGTGACCGTGTTGGGGGTCTGGAACAACACTGTTGTTAGTGTTAGTTGTGACTGTAAGTCATATAGTTTGAACCAGTGACAGGACAGTGGGAAGGAGATGTTTCTAGGTCAGATAGCGTAACTAGTGAGAGGTTAGCAGGGAGATGTTTCTAGGTTACATGGTGGCAGACTTTTCTTTAACAGATAGTGCTCTCATTTTAAATAACAGCTGCTGTTGTGCCAGACTTGGAGAAATCCCCAGCCCAATATTTATACACACCAGGGCGTGACCAGAATTTGTTGTTGGGTTTACTGCAGAAATGTGTGTATTTTTAGTTGGTTTGTTATGTCTGTCCGCTTGTCTGGGAGTAGCCTGGTGTTGAATCAGTCAGTGCAAAGCCCAAATGAAACCACCCTAGGATGAATTTAATAACCTGGTATTAATGGGCCAGGTGAGGGTTAAATACCTATTTGCTGATTGTTATCATTGTTTAAGTAAGATAAACGGTGGGAAGCTGCATAATTTAAACCTTATTTGTGAATATCACAGTCATCTACTTATCTTGTGTTGTTTGCTGTTTTCATTATATTTCTTTCTCAAACACTTGTCCAAGATTGCTTATTTATTTGTGGCTGCATATCAGGAGTAAACGTGGTTGGTGTGTACTGTGTGTGAACCTTGTCTGTTTCTCACAGACTTAGGTTGATTGCTGTGTGAATGTTGTCAATCTGGCACTGGTGACACTTTTCTGCAAATGGCCTCATTTTTCTGCATCTTGTTATCCTAGAACCACAACATGCCCTCTGCCACTCTCATGAACACTTGCTAACCTAGTCATCCCTTCTTTGTGCTGGGCCACGCAAGTGTTCAAGGCAACAAGCATGCAGATTATCTTGCTGACACTGTGGTTGCTATGGCTGGTCCGATAACGGACAGAAGCAGTTATCAGTCTGCATTTACAACCAAGATGAATGGGGCAAGTGGTATGACTGTGATGCTGATGGACATGAGGGTGCATTCTGGAGCTGCAAGAAATTAACACTTCACCACGGGTGCAAGAGTTTGATTAATCAACACAGAACAGCCATCATCAGTCATTTTATACTTGTGGAGCTTATGAGGAGGCGATTAGATCTTTCCAGAGTGCTATGATGAAAATCCTTATTAATAACGCATGACTTTTATAACATGCTGCTTACTGGCTGTGGTTGTACTGTTCTGCTCTTTCCAGTACCTGGGATCTGATTGTAATATGAGCCCCACATGTTGAGACTAACCAGTAGTGCAGTTGGCATCTGCAGCCATTTATACCACCATGAACATTCAGTCTTGGCCAGTCCCCCCACAATTTGTCCTAGGCTTGTCTCTGTGGTTTAGATTTGCATTTTCTCACCAGTTTGAAGCAGTCTTGTCTGCTCTTCTCTGGGTGTTGTTAAAGGTTTTCAACTGCATAATGTCAACTTTTGAGACTTCCGTCTTTGGTGAAGATGTGCTTTGAATCCACAAGATTCTGTTCTTACGCTGAAGATTCTAGTCTGCTGGGTCTGTCTAGCTGCCTTCTGTAATCTTGTTTTCATCAACTTGTTTAGGGATGTCTTCAGTTGAATTATTTTTGATTTAAAAAAAAAATATATTTAAATAAAAAATTTTGATGGGTCAAGAAAGGCAGGCAAGAGGTAGACAACGAGTGGAAGGAAAACGTCAAGAGTGTTGAAAATATATTCCAGATTTATGCTTGACATATGTATTCTAGGGTTTGTAAGGTTAACTCTCATTTCTTGTCTGTAAAAAAAAAAATTCTCAAGGCCTACCTTGCCTGGTAAAGGTGTTTCAGTTCCAAGTACTTTGTTTAAAAGTAGTGTTTGTATTTCAGTTGTAGTTGCGGTTTTTCTTCTGCAATTACCCGTAAATAAGTGGTTGGCTTGTTGTGATGTTTACAGCTTGGCTGCTGTATCCGCACCTTTCGCTCAACACTTCCGATTTCAGTAAACCCTAAATTCATCACCTTTTACATGCTTATTAGGAGGCTCTTCATAATTCCAAGGTGCCGGGTTCAATTC